TTAGCCGATCGGCTACAAATATTGGTTACCAGGAACCGAGATCTCAATATAACGCATTCGGGACCAGTTTTTGTCTTTTGCCTCCGTCTCTTTAAAGTATAGGGTCCAAACCCTATATATCTCACTTCTTCCAAGTTTCGAAAATCATTCCTTCTCGTCTCTAGTGTGATCTTTCCAACCATCAGTGGCGCTTGCATTTTCTCTCTTCAGGTTACCAACACACCATCGTTATTAAAGGCGGCCTCCTAAGGACAAAAGTCGTTTAGCCAGCGCAACATGTGAGAGAAGCGGTTCCAAACAGTACCTACCACGATTCCCTGGTGAACCGAACCAAAACTTACGTGATACAACCATCTCTCCCCTCTCCAGCTGGTGTCCTACCGTGAGACCGGCAACATCATCTATCAAGGATCTCGTGTCCTTTAATACCACCAAACTCGACCTCCCCATCACCCCTCGAGTTACACATATCTGGTCGCTAGTCCACTGCGGCATCATCCTGTCTGACACATATGCTGGCCATCACACCTCGGGGAGGAAAGACCGACAGTCCACCGAGTGAGATCCGCCAAGAGCATTGGGGACATGAGACCGCCTGTCTATCAGAGGGTCACGCTTCGTTATTACCTACCGGAGCATTCGGACCAATTCGGACCCTGACGACAATGTCTGTTCTTTACCTGAAAGTTTGGTTATGCTCCTTACTCTAAGAGAAGAGCTCTAAGTACCCGGCCGGGCGGTACTGTGAAGACACGATCTATTCGTTAGTCAGCATGCGCGGCCAGATCTGTTGATCTCTGGATTTCGGGGTGTTGCCGTCTGGCGAGGCATAGTATTCTGGTATGTGTAGAGTTTGGTGCAATCCTTACTCTGAATGTTTGAAGAGTTGGTCTAATAAACCAAGTTTTTATGTTTTGTTCCAGAATTAGCTACTCCGGTCTATCCAGCTGTGAAGACCATGTTCTTTGGCAGCCAATAAGAGTCGCTAAAACGGGATGTTATCAGTGCCTCACAACGCTGTAATCTGTCGAGTAATTTCACATACAAGGTTACTCTCACCTCACTCTTACTTGCAGCAGCAGAATAGTCATGAGAGGCTACTGTATTAACTGGGTATACCTCTACATGCATAAACATTATAAAACAGATATAAGATCGAAAAACACAATAAACTAAGGTAGGCAACAGTGATACATAGATAAGTCATGGTGATTCCTAGCCGTCGCGGCCACACCACACCCTACTCGGCATTTATTCATGTGAGAGAAACCCTAATGAAATGCCATTAGAACAGCTTGACGCCCCACAAGGCTGTAGTTGACACCTCCTCCAATCTTAACCGAACTCCAAGTCATGGCACCTACACCATAGCAAGTGCAGCTTTACCCAATAAGCACTACACCCAGAAAGGCAGGCAGCTAGTAAGTCTCTCATCCTGAACGCTAAAGCAGTGAAAAACTCAACACAGATCACACACACGCATGCACCCACCGAAACGGCCAGTCAAAAACAGTTACTTAGCACAAATTAGGAACCCGCGGATTCCAGAATATAAAAACGTGAACTTCATGCCCTCCGAAAGCACCACACCGACATGCTCTGACAATACGCTTTACAGACTTCGATAGTGCTTGGCAGGAACTAACCCATCCCGGAAAGATGTTTCAGTTTTGATTCCTCGTACGAGTACGGTCGAATTTCGCACATGCGGGCAGTGAGGTGGAGTTCCAAAGGCAGGCGCGGCTTTGCAGATCTTCTTTGCCAATCCAATTTCCAGGTTTGCGTGTCTACCTTTTCTGGCGCTCGCCATCATGAGCTTGGAGCCTTTCGTCGTCCTCACTCGATATTGTAGAAGCCCTTGTGTGGGGCATAGCCCCACCATCTATAGCACCTCTCTGCCACCGGCTCCACTCCACTGATCAGGCGGACTGAGACCGATGACCCCCATCGGACTTTCGGCCACACTAATGGCCGGCAGCCACCACTGATGGGCTTGGCAGCCACCTTATTCAACAGATATTATTGGATAGATCTTTGAGCCCAGTTGTGCTCCTCAACCCTCCTCCATTACACGTGTTATAGAGGGATGAAGGCAGGTTTAAAGTTGTGAAGCAAGTTTTTGCTTGCATTGCCTATAATAAGGGGAGGTGTCTCCCCTTCCAAGGCGTTCACAAAAATTTCCAGAGTTGAAATTTCTCTCTCTCTCTCTAGAATTTCTCACTCTCTCTCTATATATTGATGCTCAAATATTGCCTTAAAGTGTGTTTTTCTCCATAGATTTTGCATACAACACCTAGTGAAACACCATTACCTTGTTGCATAAGCCGTACTTGAGGTTGTCTGTTTTGGACTCCAAAAAAAACTGGTTTGTTAACTCAAGAGAACTTGTTGCTCTAAAGTTGTGCTTTCAAGGGTGAGTTGTTTCCCTCTTTAAGTTTGATTTTGTATCAAGTGTTTGGCCCCCTTTAACATGTTGTTTTAGGCCTTTCTTTCAACTAGCAAAATTTTTGTTTTTAAGTGAAAGATGGTTTGTTGAGGCCTTGTTTTGAAGTTAGGCGGTGTCTACCCCCCTTTGGTGGCTTGTTTTGCTTTGCTTGTTTGCCACCTCTAAGGCCTTTTTGCAGATCACCTTCTCTTGACCTTTTAACCACTGAATTCCCAAACAGAATTTCAGTGGTGGAAAGTGTGTTTTTGGGTCCAAATAGGAGGGGCCATCCCCTCTCCTTGTGGTCTTGGTGCTTGTGTGATGGCCTCTATTTTTTAGCATGTTTTTCTGGCACTGTATGGCTTGTTCTCAGCTTATTTTTTTGGCATTATTTCAGCATGGCATAACTCTGGTTTTGGACCTAAAGTTTTGTTGTTTTTCAAAAAAAAACCCCCCCCTTATGCAGGCTTTTTACACTTGTAGTGTAATCTTGTCATTTATCCTTACATGCTTGCCCATTGTTGGCTTCATCCATCTAGGCCTTATTTTGGACTACCACTCCAGCATGTTTTTGCTCATATTTGAAACTCTATTTTGAGTGGTTTTAAGTCATGAGAATTGCTTCCTCCTCGATAATAGCCAATTCAGAGTGCAAGATGCTTGCTCAACTGAGGCTTTTGAGTTTTCCCACATTCTCCTACATGCTTACTTGAGATCTCTTTGCTATGGCATCTTAGTGTGCGCTCATTATCTTAGCATGAGGTATTTCAGTGTTCGCTCGCTAAGTGTGTGTAAGTCTTCATACTGCTCACGCTCCTCTCTGACTCTTTCTCAGAGTACCATATCCTGTGCAGATCTTTGCTCGCGGTCTCATGTGACCTCGCGAGGGTTATGCATTCGTGTTAGATGGAGCTCACTGCTGGATAATCATAAGTGGCACACTCAACGAGCTCCCTCGCCTAGCTGATTGTGGAGAGACCTGAGCTCCAGTCCGCAGCATCAGCATCTATATCCTTGGATGCTTAGTTTGCCCACACTCATCTCTCGACCTTCTATTTGGTTGGTGGAGTCACCTCTGCTTAGTTTTGGGTACTTGTAGTGTAATCCCACTCATTGGCCTTGCATGCTTAGGTGTTTTTGGCTTACCATGCTAGCTTGTTTTGGCTACCACTCACATCATTGCGACCGGGTATCTCGCT